GGTTGCCAAGTGCTAAGATGTTGTATGGGTTATAACAATAATATTGTGGTAAATGTATTTAAGGTAGAATAAATGTAATAAAAGTATAAAACCTTATTTAGTGGGAAAGATTAGTTTTTTCTAGATAATAGTATACATAAAAACAGGTACCTGATAGGTCCATGAGAACGAATCGATTTAAGTTTGCTTAAAGATGGAGTATTAGTGGATGCGCACAAATCAAAATTCCAATTAACCATTAAACGATAATAGCCATTCAATAATGTTATGAATGAAAACATTGTACTCGTACTTAAGAATTTCAAGTGAATAGGTATACCAGTCTTTCTAGATATTTCAACTGTACCATCGTCAGTAGTTGATAGAAAACACAAGTCTTCAATTGCTGCCAAATGTACCCACTGAAACAATTGTTGGTTAAGATATTGATCTACATTCTACCTACACACTTAACATACTTCTTTTCTGTTTTCGGTACACATTCTTACGCCAGGCATTTCTGAATGAAATGGATTTACTCTAAATGCAACATTTACAGAGCTGCCATTTTCACTGTATAAAGCTTTATATTCTTCTTCTAAATAATCTGGTGCAATAGAATTGAATTGTTCTAAATAACTTTCTTTGATAACAGGTACATAAAGATTACCAATTGTATTGTTATTTATAAGTATTTTTAAAGTTTCCTGTACAGGCTTTTTCAAAAAAAACATGTGTTGCTTAACAACTTCTTGGGGCATAAACTGTTTATAATTTTGTTCAACTATTTCTCTGGTTTTTTCCTCTTCTAATATACATCTGTACATGTCGGCAACGCCCATGCCAATAAGCTCTCGTTTGCATGTGTCATAGCACAATCCAGTGACTTTACTCTTCAATAGATCTGATTTAACTTGATAAAAATAGAAATTATACGCATAACAATCAATTGACTTCAGTCGTTTGACGTCAGGCATTTTATATCTCAACTTGTACTCATAAACGTGATGTTCGTTTTTGGCATATAGTATGAATAGAGAGGGACTCAACCACAGATTGTCATCTGTAGCGCTCAACACTCTCAGTCCAAATAAATGTCTGGCCACTGGGCCAATATTCAACAGTTTCGAGGTCTCGATAATTACATCTTCTACAGTCGTGTTGATGGTGACAGGTATCTCGTGAGGAGTCGCTTGGACAGCAACGTGCACTTTGATGGAAATGGACGAATCCATCATCTCGTCGAGTGTCGGCTGGGCACCGGTACCTACAATTTCCGAGTGGATGGACAGGATGGACACTACGGAAATTCAACCACAAATGACAATATTTGTCAGTGAAACACTGAAACGCGCACGATCCTTAGACGATAAAAGTTTCGATTTTTAATTATCCAAACGAATAGAACAGATATGATGGTGAAACTACTTTATTAGTGGAGCACAATAAGTGTAACGACGTATTTCCAAGAAAATCGCGACAAGTAATCAGAAACCGTAGGCACTCATTATAAATTATAATAGTCATATAATCGCAATCGGCACATATCATTATTATTTATTAGTTTTTTTTTATAGTAGGCACTTACTAGCTACTACTATTACAACAATAATAATAATTATTATTTATTATTACTCAACTTCAACTCGGTAACCCAGCCGCGGATACGGTACTACTGTAGTGCCATGGTAGTATAATATGTCAATACGTTGATAAGTGGCGTCCAATATTCTCTGGAAGATTAGATTATCGCAATATTATATCGCCTATCGGCTATCGGTGGTAGCTACAACAACAACCTGTATCGTGATGCGCATGACTGCAATAATAATACTGCATTACTGCATGTGTTGCTTCATGTAGCCTGTTGCAGTAATCCCGAAGCCGTAAGGTGGTTTCAGGCTTTCAGCCATTTCTGCCTACATAACTTATAGCCATATTTTATATTCTCAATGATAAACGGCGCCGGTTAAGAAAATCAGCCACCCCACCATAATAAATTTGACCACCACCGTCCACCATACATACAAGCATTTAGTTAGATAATATATTATACTATTAATTATTATATATCTCAGTGGATAAAACTAAAAGTATACCTAACTGAATATTTTTTACTTAAGTTTGAAGTTTGAATAGGTCCTCTTCCGGTAGAGTGGTTGGCGCTCAATCAAGAGGGGGCTATTTAAATACTATATTATTCTGTTACCCATAAAGGTTATAACCGTGATAAAGATATTACCAAAAAAAAATTCCAAGGGGTGCATCTACCCATTGCCACCCACTCGGCTACTCCATTGTTTATTCGACACTTCATTATAATCCATAGCTAGTAGAGTAATAAATAATAATAGGTAAAATAGGTTTTACTCTGGGTTATTTTTCGTTACTTATTAATATTCCGTTGCACTCGGCACTCACTCGCTCTCATGCAGAGTTTAGATATTGCTTACAACCTATACATAATAAAAATGTCAACACTATCATACTGCCAAAAAAGTTAATCCGTAGAATGTGCCGAATTTGGACCAAATAGGAAATAGCTATTAATAGGTTGTAGGTAATAGGTTATTAGTTATTATTAGGGCTCGGAAGTTGATGAGTGATGACCTTAAACACATCAAAAAATGACCTAAAAAAAAATGCAAATATGAGTAGGTATATGACATAAAAATGACAGAATGTCCTTAAAAAATTACCTAAAAAAATTACAAATATTTGTTTTAAATTTATAAAAATACATTTTTTTTAAATATTTTACTCTATTTTACTATAAAATTCTAAAAACATTTATCAAAGTTTACAAATTGCTCAAAATATGACATAAAAATGACAAATAATGTCCTTAAAAATGAAATAAAAAACAAAAAAATATTTGTTTTAAAATTTATCAAACATTACAAATTACTCAAAAATCATTGCATTGTATAATTAGAGCGTTTTTGATGTTATCAAAAGTAAATGAACGACGATTATCTGATAATCCTAGTCCTTGGTAATTTCCAAGTTTTAAGTTATCGGCGTAGACAAGAAACGATAAGAAGTGAACTAGTGTGAAATCAGTAAAAATTACTAAAAATGTGGGAAAATGACCTAAAAATGTCAACAAATGACTTAAAAAGTAATAAATACCAAAAAATGCAAAATAAAAATTATTTGTTCAGATTCAGATGCTAATGAGTAATAAACCACATTTGTGGCCAGGAGAACATCGTCTAAAAAGTTCCAAAAAAAAAATGCAAAATACATCAACTTCCATGCCCTAGTTATAATATTATGTAAATATGTAATTGTAGATGTTACTTGTATCTGTTAGAGAAGAAATCCTGAATCATTTTTAATTTTTATAGTGCCGGACAGACAGTTTTAAGGACTAGAACTTAAAAAGCGTAATGATATGTTAGTTGTATACACTTATGTGGTGGGTCTTGGCAAGAAATACACTATATACTATAACCATACATAATTAGTACCTATACTTTTATAAATTTTCTGGTAACTTAAATGTAATACATTTTTACTATAGTTATAAGTTTAATTATTTTCATGTACGTACCTACTACCTACTTAAATCTCACAATCTACAATCCTTCAGCTCCATACAACTTGGTCCCCCCAAAATGGTAGATTTTACAAGTAATAAATTCAGCAGGTCACTTGCTACCTATTATGGGGACTCAACTCAACCATATTATTCTCCTTACCTGCGATTCAAGTCATGAGCGAGTTGCGTCCATAAATATTATGAGTTACAATAATTCATATTATGAGGTATGTGTAAATTCTAGTATGTGTAATAGTGTAATACCTATGTTAGGTATGTCTATGATTAACAATAACATATTATCAGAATTTACACACTAATTTAAATGTTATAAAATAATATGTTTCATTCAAATTTTAACCAAATTATTCATTAATTCAGTAATTAATAATTTTATGAATGTACATAATTTTTAAGCTTTATTTTAGAACAATTTTTAGTTTACTTATTTTATTTTGTAGTTATAAATGCATTTAATTAATTTGATTATAGTTTTAATTGACAGTTGACGATTTTATAGCAGTAAAATATTTTTTAAACTACCTATGCATAATTATTTTAACATATTTTTTACATAATCTATAAATAGTTATGTTATAATAGTGTATTATTTTATTTCTTTTAAATTAATGTGTTAGGTACTCTAATGTAATATAATCAAATGAAATTAATCTTAATAGCTTGTAATACTTAATCTGTATGCTATGCTTAATTAATGCTGTGACGCAATTAGGCTGCCTAAAAAGGTATACAGGGACGCAATAGCCTATGACCCTTTTTTGCGGGAGGCAACTTACCTATAGTTACCTACTGATAATTATTTCGGACGCAAGTAGTATGCGCCGAATCCTACGCATCCGACCAACGACCACCCATCGATTTCGGTTGGTTTCAGACTCTCAACTAACAGAGCGTTGTCGCTCCACAATTCTATACTTCTATACTGAGTAAATAAACTAAATAATTATGATTATTCTTTATTGCGATCGATTAGTATACCATAATATATTCATGATTACGGAGATTTAAGATCAAATTATAATTTATCTCATATATTATCATGACATAAAAGACAGCTAAGCAGGCATTGTGGTAACAATTTTACTTTGGCGATTACTTCTATTAATCGGCAACCCTACATAGTAAATAGCACAGGCGCACGGCTAGGTATTTAGTGCAGTTTATAGATAATATTATGGCTGCCTGTCGGGTGTCAACTGCCGCGACCCATAAATCATGATTCCCATATTTGAAAAATATGACTAGTGACCACGGCTTTAGATATCTTTTCTATCTAAAGCCGTTCTATAATGCTATATAGTGACTACCACCGTAATTAATCTCTATAATCAGTATTGCAGCTGGAAATTCACAGAAAAGAGATTACACCGTCTAAATTAAATTTATCATGCACTTCCGTATCATTGTGGTATCATTTTTCGGACAACTACCAACTACTAGCCACCCGCCAGCCAAGGTTTATAGATATAAACCTTGCCCGCCAGCTGCAACCATACTTATCTATTTTGTCATGATTTATCTCATAATTGAATGATTCGGCAATCGACATGTTCACACACGGTTAACCTTAACATAATATTAACTATAACACCATCCAGCATCTATATGAATGGCGTATTTTCGAAGTTGATGACCGAAGTCGTTTTATAGTCTATTATGAAGTATTGAAATATGAACTTGTGGTTTGTTATATTAAAACTTAAAACTTGTTTAACTCCAAATTAACTTAATAGTATAATCGGTCACAACTCAAAACTATTATAACGGTTTAAATTAATTGAATTTGTAATTAAAAAAACTTATATTTCAATAATATTTGTTATAGGTCCATTAATTTTTATGAAGAAAAACATCAATACCCTTATCCGGGCCCGTAATTTTTAATTTTATAAAAACTTATTTATTTGAATTTTAAAATATGGAGAGAAAGACTCGTAGGATGAAAATGAAGACAGTGGAAAGTTTAGTTTGTTTGGTGAAATCAGTAGAAAATCAATTCACCACTATTGATTTACAAAACGAAACTTCTGTGTATGGTTTTGTTAAAGAAGTTGATTGGTATTGCATGAACATCACCATTCTTAGTTGGTAAAATTATAATTAAAATATTTGTTAATATGCTTTATAGTGATATGAATGTGACCTTATGCAATGTCACTGTTACTGATCCAAATGGTAATCGATATTCTTGTGATAATTTCTTTTTAAAATCAAGATTGATACGTTATGTTCATTTATCTCGAACAGTAAGTTAAAATAATGATGTCAAATAAAATTTAAAAAAAATTCACTTTTGGTGTTCTTCTAGGTTGATATATTTCAAGCTATGAAAGACGTAGTTAGAAAAACCTTTCCTGCTAGAGTTAAGAGACCAGCTGCTTATACTTTGAAGAGAAAGAAAATAATAGCTAGACAAGAAAAACTTAAACGGGAAGTACAAAATATGAAAAGTAAAGGTCCTAAATCCTAGTTACAGTGTATTAGTATTCATAATTAATTTAAGATATTTTTCAATTGTAAATACCTACATAAGATATGATTAAAACTACTTTTTCAATACCTCTGATATTTTAGTTCTATTTTACATAATACGGCTGTCATGGATATGTTCTGAAGATATTAACTCAACAATGTATCTGTACATTTTACTAATTATTAAATAAATTATTTGAATTTTTTTTTGAAAATCTTTTTGAGAAGTATGATGCATTTATTATAAGTTTACAATTAACTTACATTACAATCAGTTAGAACTAAAATCATACTCTAATTTAGTAAATATCTTATGACTTATTGTAGTTTAAATGAATCATACTTCATACATTTATGATTTATCAATATAAAAAAATAATTTTTTCATTATTTTAATAATCCTATAACTGCAATAAAATATTTATTATGTATAAAGTATGTTCTTTAGAAATTAACATACAGTCAGAAATAATTATAAAAATTATATGCAAACAAGTGAGTTTAGCATGAGTCATGGGCCCATTTATTAAATAGATAAGTTTTAACGATTGGGAAAATTGTATAATATATAGACCAACTGTGGGAACAATACTCAGAACCACCATAAAAAATTATCTTATGAATGTTGTCAAAACATTATTATACACAAAAGGGATATTGGTTTGAAATGTTTGAATAATTCATGGGATATAGTACAAAAATTTGTTATGTGTAATAATCAACCAATTGGTGCCACTACTGATTATTTTAATTATGACTATAAACTGTAATAACTTTTAATGTTTTCCTAAATCCTAAATAAGTATTTTATCATCTATTTTTGTATAATTAAAAAACCAAATTATATTTTACATAAAATATATTTATGTTTTTTTTCTTGACATAGTTATAAAATACCCAAATATAGTGGTTTGCTAAATTAAGCATTTAAATTATGCTTAGTTTAAGTATTTAAAACAAAAAATATATTTCATTATATCATATAAAATAATTAATTACATTTAATTTCTAAACAAAACAAAAATACCTCTATTTTTTAAATTTTTGTCTACATAGCAATAGTCAATCATACATATAACTTACAAATTAAAAACATTAAAGAAAAATTTTTTTATATTTATTGCATATCAATTTGTTACCTTTATTGAGGAAATTATAAGACCTGAGTCAACAGACTATATTACTATATTATAAAACATGAAATACTGTCACTAAAATGTATATAACTAGAACAATAAAGTATAGTACTTAAATTAAAATGTTAAACTATTTAATACTCATTTTGAGGTTTATAATTTTTGACATACCTGAGTTTCTCTGAGTATAACACACAAATAAAATAAGCAAAAAATAATATTGTTCCTGTTTCATTACCCTTGTTTAATATTTAAAGATGATTTTGAGCCTAGTTATTATATCTCTTATACAAAGGAAAAATTGGAGTTGACAAATGAATCACTTTCCTATTGACTACGAGTCTACATAAGTCATAAACTCTCATTATTTTAAACATTATAAAATTCATTGACTTGGGATGATTGAAGTTCAATTTGTGCCATTTTAAATTGTAATGTTTGGAGCCATTTAAGAATATCTAAATTTACTTCTGATTTGGAAAGATCAGATCTAGGCTTAACTGTCGGAGGCTCTCTAGGTTCAAATTCAATACATGTATCTAAACGTAATTTCATATGGCCCGGTAACTGTAATCAATAAAAGATTTATAATTTATTACTAAATATAATAATTTTCTTTAAGCTCCTTACATAATCAATAAACATATATATAAATAAATATACAGGGTGTCCCGTGAGGTTATACCCATTAGCTGTAAAGGGGAACTCATAGCAAGGACAAAACCGATTTTTTGCTGTTCTTCCTTTAAACTAAAGAAATGATTAAAAATAATGAAAATAATAAAAATAAAATGTTGAATAGTTAAAATTTTCAAAAAAAAATCAACTCAACAAAATAGTTATCATCAATTGTTTAAAAAATTTTTTTTAACTTTTGTACCAGAAAATGAAATGAAATGAAAAATAAAATAAATGTAGTCTAATAAAAAAAAAACAGATTTATGATATATTTATTACCTCAGGAGATATTGCAATGGATAAAACTCTGCAGGACACCCTGAATTTATCAAGATATAATTACTGTACCTTAATATTTTTATCAGTAAATAAAACCTCTTTCCACATAGGTATAAGTTTACACAATGTCACTGTACGACACTCTAGTAATGCTTCAAGTAAACTCAGAAAATGCAAGTTTACCATTTCTCCCATCTAAAAAAAATGTACATAATATTTAACTTGGATATTGTGTTTTTGAGCATTTGATAATAATTTAACATACCGTTTTAGATTTAGAAGACAAGTTAAGCATACTTTGAGTAACCTTATTCCAAAAATCGTGTAATATGTTCATTGTAAATGAGTGATGATCACCAGCTGTTACCATTTGTTGAGCTGTTTGTTCCATATAAATTGTCCACAACTAATAAATAAATATTTATCACTATAATTTTTTGGATTTATAGATTTCGATCAGTGGTTTTAGATATATAAGTCTTATTATATTATATTATTATTTGTATAATCATTCATTGTTACTTGACAAAGTACAAAGGCATGGAAAAGTGATGACATATGTATAACTGAAGATTTTGATTCTTCTGCAAATCCGGTCATTATTACATTAACATGATCAGCTATTTGACAAGAAACGTCTTGAGATAGTGGTAGACAAGGTCTACTCTGCATTGTCGTATATGAGAGTGATCCAATTAGAATCCAAGATAATAAACGTATGTGACTGAGGCAATCCGAGAAGTCTTTACAATTGTATATAAATAATCTGAAATGCACATTTAATATTTATTACATAATATAAATAAATATACAAAAAAAATGTGTATTAAAGAATAGTATATCCAGATATTGTAAATGATATAGTTTGTAGTCACTCCACTCAAAAAAAAAAAATTGTGTTTTAATTCAAAATAATATTTTACTTAGAATATTATGAATATATTTTAATGCTTGTAACAAAAAAAAAATATATATATATAGCACACAAAAATGTTTACCCGATAGTTTGTATTTCATTAGGTCCATAATATAACCAAGGGAATATCTTATGTAGTGATCTTGCATCTCGGGTATTACTTTTTAATAGTTCTAATGACAGGTACTGAGACATACCAGCTTTCACAGTACTCCCAAATGTATCCTCATTAATTCCTTCTTCAGGTGTCGTACATCGACTCTACATGTGTTAATACTTTTATATTTATAATGTATATCAATAATAAAAAAAAAATTATATAAGAATAGACCTTTAATTTTGTCAAAGTATTGAAATCTGTTAAAAAATCTAAAATATCTTGTAAATTGTTTCGCAAAAGTTCTGAAGCACCCGTTGGTACACTAGTTACAATTGCTGGAAATGTTGGCACTATGTTATCGATTGCTGAGCATTCTGGTAATATTCCACCAATATCCTAAAATAATTGCAATAATATTCACCAACTTTGTTCATAATGTATTAAATAAGTTGTTTATTAATTTTACTTGAAGTATAAAGGCAACATAAACCAAAAGGTTGTTATTAAGATTCTGTGTTTTGAATTTTAATGCTTGTATTAACTCTACTGTTACAGCTCTTGTTAATATGGTTTTTTCTCTTTCCTATATATTAAACATTTAAATATATTATAGACTTAGATGAATTTTTACTAGAGTTTAGCTATTTATACAATGTACTAGTATGTAACAGTTCTTACCCTTGCAAATGTTTTATAACTTGATGAACAAAGATCAACTAATAAATAATAATCAATATAATGTTGTTGGAGAGCATAAGTTAATATTTTTGAAAATGGATCCAAAATACTCTAAAAAATACAAAACGTGCATTGTATATGTCATAAAGGATTCATTATTAGTTCTACGACAAGGAATAAAGGCGATAAAATAATATTTTTAATTTGTTAACATCAAACTTTACCTTAGTTGAAATAATTCCTGGTATTTTCAATACTGTAATCATTAGCTTGAATATTAAATTAATATTTTCAAAACTACTTATAGTTAATTGAATTTTTCTAAACAATGTGTCAAATTGATTAAGAATGGTTGTCCATATTAATGTTGATGTGGTGGTAGTTGTATCTGTGGTTAGTATATCAATATAATATGTAACGTTGAATAACATTATACAACAATCATCTGTTGACAATGATTTTTTAGAATTTAATACCTGTAAAATTAAGTTTTAAGTATACTAACCTATGAGATATAAATAACAAAAAGTATAAGTATTACACCCAGAATGGATCAATCTTTAGACTAGACATGAATTTGAAATTATTTAATGTGTAGAAAATTCTGTAATTCAAACATTTATGAACAAACACGAAAGATTTTGATAAAAAAAAACGTTGTATTCATTTTTGTAGAAGTATTTCTTAAATGGATTAATCATTAATTGCACAGTCTTATTCCAAAATAAAAGAGTTGAGCTTGCTATACCAATATCATAACCAATGTGCCACTTCTGTCCCCAATTAATATGATGATTCACCTAGCAAGCTCACCCCCATTTTTCCTTTAATAATGAGTTTATTCAATTTTGATTTTTGAAATTTGTATGTACATTTCAGAAGTATATTTTTAATTGGTGAGATTTTTATACCATCTAAGGAGTGTCCGGTGGTGATTCAAACTTCTTTATTTCAAAAGAAAACCAATCTGTTTTACAGTAAAATGTCAAGCACTAAGCAGATCATTTAAAAGATAAAATGTTGATCTATGTAAATCAAAGTAGTAGTTTCTGAGTTATACAAATGTATATATATATATATAAACTACAATTTTTTGATAGATTGTTGTATTAATTATTAACATTTTCAAATAATCATAACCCCTATTATCCTCATTATATAAATCTAAAACTTCGAAAATGAATCGTTCAAATTTTAGATTTAGATACTTCAACATTTTCATAAAATTCAATTTCTTAAGAATCCAAATGTTTGACAATCTAGTACTTAAGTATGTATTAAAATTCACAACATGACAAAAACCGAGTTTTAATAAATTAATTATTAAATGAAAAAATAGGGATAAGCGTTCTTGATGAAAACTGTACTTAAATAAGGCGGATTGGGAGTTCCGCCACTATTATATAAATAAATATACATATATTACTT